ATATTTTTATTTTTCACTTAGGGTTCAGTGAATGTGCATATGAACTGTTTGGGTTTGGTACCTCCAACAAGGTTAAGAACCACTAGTCTAAGACCAAGTCGGCACTTCCATCTGCTGTTGAGAGCATGGAGTTCTGAAGCACTGATCACAAAGAACTACAGTCATCAGCCTCTTTTTTTTTTTTTTTTTTTTGTATTTGATACACCACGTGTGCCTATTGCTCTTGGCAACCTTGTGAATGCTCAATTTGCACTGTAGATTTATTATAAAGAAAATGAAAAAAATACACGCTCCTTGAGTCTGTCGATCAGGAGGGGCGATTCCAGGACAGCTCATCAGCAAGCTCTGAACAAGCTGGATAATAATCCTGATCATTTGAATGAGGTGTGCTGGAAGAGCGAGACATGGTTATGCATTGTGGGTGTGTCTGAAGTCGAGATGGGAGAATCGCCGCACCTTGAAAGTGCACAAGAAAAGTGCGTAGAGGAAATTGACTTTCGCGCGAATGGGAGAATATGCCCCTAAATGCGGAACATCACCGGACCAAACAAGTCGTCAGTGGACTGATGCTATAATTTGCATAAACACTAGCTGTGATAGTTTGAACCTGAACTTGATGAAATGACATCCATCCATCCATTTTCTGATCCGCATGTCCTCACAAGGGTTGGGGGCGAGCTGGGACCTATCCCAGCTGTCTTTGGGGCAGTAGGCGGGGGACACCCTAAACTGGTTGCCAGCCAATCACACATGTAACAAACAACCATTCACGCTCACACTCACATCTAAGGACAATTTATAGTCTTCCATTCACCTGCCGTGCATGTTTTTGGAATGCGGCAGGAAATCGGAGTACCCGGAGAAAACCCACGCAGGCACGGGGAGAACATGCAAACTCCACACAGGAAGGCCGTAGCCGGAATCGAACCCTGCACCTCCGCACTGTGAGGCCGACGTGCTAACCAGTCGATCAGCGGGTCTCCCTACATACAATATCGGATATGATATAAGATAGCACTAAGTCTCAACATCAAACATGATCATCTTTGATAGCTGTTGAAGACATCTTATGTAAAACTGAAAATAATGTCGACAGTTAACATTTCTACAGTTGGTTTCCTGCCACAGGGCTCTGCCAGTCTGAATTGTAAGGAAGTGCTCTAACCTCTTTTAGCGAATGTAGAAGTTGGTTGCGCAAAATTATCCAACAAAAAAATTGTGCTGAGTGAAAATGCTGAGTGACCAGTAACTCCCGGAAACCATTAGCCACAGTAGCTGGTGAGTAAAAAAAAGATCATGTTAAGCCCTGCTTAAGCCTGAAATTATCAGGATCAATGAGAGTATTCACAGGCAAAAAAAAAAAAAGTGTCCTGGACACACACTGATTTTTTTTTTCAGACTGTGCGTGTCAGTGTAAAGGTTAAAGTGACCACAGTACAACCTGAGGAGAGGTATTGATTCTTACCAAATACTCACTAAGGATATACTTGCACAGACTCTGAGTGCAGTCCGGTCTAAAACTGCACACTGTTGGAGCAGAAGAATGAAGCACAGAGAGATAATTGTTACCATCTGTGGTAAAGCTGAAGTTGGCCAGGAAGGCTGTCCTACTTGGCACGCTCAAAGATTATGTAAGAGGAATTCGCGGGGTAAAAAAACAGGATGGGGCTGTGATAATTCTCCTCAGCAAGGAAGAACTATTTTGACAAAACTTTCCCTTTTATCTCAAGCTATCGCTGAAAACACCCTCGGAAATAAACTGCTTACTTCTCACTTTATGGTGATCGTGAACTTTAATTGATGTTATGTAATGTCAATGTTATGAAACTTTTGTAGCAGTGACCACTTGACTCCCATGCAGCACAATTTCTTTCAGTGATACAACGAAAAGTTTTAAGTAGGTAGTGTTCTCACTTCCTTTCCATCAGATTCTACTTTAGAGACAATGTTTCTGGCTAAAGGTGATTTTTTTATACATTTCTGAGCACAGCCACTAAAAAGAGACAAAATACCTGACCCTGCTCCCCGGCCCCCGTTTCACATTTTCCAGTCTTTGAAAATCAAAAAACATCCTGAACCATCCAATATTCAAAGCTCATTAAAATTAACAATAACCAATGATGGTTGGTGTTTCATAGTGTATCATTTCTTTATGGATTTCACTTTTTGGCTGTCATTTAATATTTTACTTCATATTGGTGGTCAACAACATATTACTTAATCCATACATCCATCGATTTTCCGATACGCTTATCCTCACACAGTCATGGGGGGTGCTGGAGCCTATCCCAGCCGTCTTCAGGCAGTGGGCGGGGGACACCCTGAACTGATTGCCAGCCCATCGCAGGGCACACAGAGACGAACACCCCATCCGCGCTCACACTCACACTCACACCTAGGGACAATTTAGCATGTTCAATCAGCCTGCCATGCATTTTTTTGGAATGTGGGAGGAAACCGGAGTACCCGGAGAAAACCCATGCAGGCCTGGGGAAAACATGCAAACTCCACACAGGGAGGCCAGAGCTGGAATTGGACCCGGTACCTCTGCATTGTGAGACGTGCTAACCACTGGACCACTGGGCTGCTACATATTACTTTAGATAATGAATATTCATTGCGCCCTGTTTGAACATTGAGATAATTTTGGGTATCATTTAATCAAACCAAACCAAGGTCAATTACAGTAGTTTAGATTTTAGAAAAGGGATGTCAAACTCATTTTAGTTACAGCTTCCCTTGGACTGCCGTTATGCCTGAAACCATAAAAAGGAGTTTGGTAACAAGAAAATGCTGACAGTATCACTCTTATTTATTTCAAATGAGAAATTGAAATTTATTGTTGTTATTGTAGTTATTGTTTTCATAAATTCTGCAAAAACAAATCAACAAGTCAAGTGAGCAGACCTAGTACAAACTTTTTTTTTTTAAGAACAAAGGATCTGTTATGTAATTAGTCACATTACTCTGTCCATATTCTTAAAGGTGGTTACAACCCCCAAGTAATCAAGTATTTAGCCAAATTAGCCAAATAGCTCTTAGAGGAGTGTTTATTGTGTGTCTGTGTGCTGGGTTTCAGTCTTTTAGAGACTGTGACCCATTTGCGGTTTGCCTATGATTCTAAGCTCACGTAGGTTGGCACACTTTCAGATCTTTTTCTATCTTTCCACACTCATAAATGTTAAGTATGTGTAAAACTACTGAACATTTACAGAAGTCTGTATTGCTGATGTGCCAAATGCCTAACTGCGGCCTCGTGTTGCATAGTTGGCCTTCGGTCGTCAGTCATCACCCTCAGCTTTGCCCTGTGTCACTACATTTAATTAAATCTGAACTGTTGAGAGAAGGCCCATCAGTGTTCAAGTCCCTGCAAGTGAAATTCAAACTAAAGCACATAATTAGGGATCTCACAATATTCACGTTATTTCAGAAATAAAAGTACAGTACATCGATTTTGGTGAAAAATAATTAGCTGCTGTTTAGTTTTGGGTTCAGCCAAAGCAGGTCATGTTAGGGGGGTACGTTAATCGGCCAATAAAGAACTCATTGCACCACACAATGACCATCAACACTCCGAGTGCACTTTGGTCCTTAGCTGCGGCTATACGCGGCTAAGTCAGGAGTTATATGATATACGAATGGTCTGTCTATAAGCCATTTTTTGTTGCCACTGTTTACTGACATCATGGGTTATTTTTTCGCTGAAGACACTGTTATAAGTGCTGTCTAAGATCCTTGTATGGAGTAATGAAAGCCTCTCACAGAACCAACTAAACTTTTTGCATCCACCATCCAGAGTATAGACCAGGGGTGTCAAACTCATTTCACATTACGGGCCACATACGGCCTCGGTAGATGTCAAGTGGGCCGGACCATTAAAATTATACCATACTCTGCTATAAATAACCAAAATAAGATGTCTTTCCTTTGTTTTGGTCTAAAGAAGCACAAGAACATTAAGAAAAGGTTGAAATTTAATGAACGTATCTTTTACACAACATTTCATGAAGCACCTTAGATTTCCTGACACAAATGTGCAATTTACTTGTATCATTCACATGTATGCATTGCAACTGATCCCACTGATTGTACCAAGACACAAAACTTTAACAATTGGTATTGAAAAATATATTAATGCATTTTAAGATTCAACGAGATTTACCGTATTGGCCCGAATATAAGACGGTGTTTTTTCATTGAAGTAAGACTGAAAAAGTGGGGGTCGTCTTATATTAAGGGTCTAGACACTATACCCATTCACGACGTTAGATGGCGCCAGATATCATTGAAGCGAATGCTGAACTTGACTCCCCAGGCCAAAGCGAACCCCTGTCACGAAGAATAAAAATAAAAATAGCGGTAGCACGAAGAAGAAAATAAAAAAATCGGTAAGAAAGAAAAGAGTAGAAAATAATCGAAGAGATAACAGAAAATGGAGAAACGTAGCGACAATCTGGAGAAAAGTGGATCGAAGATCGGCCAGGTTAACCGGCAGCTGAGGAGAAGTTCTGATGTAATTTACATTTCAAAAACCAGAAGCCATTCATTTATGAATGTGGTTGCACTTTAGTTTACATATTTAAATGTTCAGATATTAAGATTTGAATGAGGCAAAATAACATGCTTTTTCTCTCAAATATATTGTTATAATCATTTGTTTCAGATGTACTGTAATTATTTTCTGTATAAAAATTAATTTGGTGTTCAAAAAGTCTTTTTTCAAACTTGAGTCTTGAAAAAGAGGGGGTCGTCTTATAATCAGGGCCATCTTATACGGCATAAAGAAATGAATTTTTAAACCATTTACACATGCGCATATAAAATCTAAATTTAAAGGCAAAGTGTGAAGTAATTTCATGAAATGCCAAATAGGGTCACAATGAAAGTACTTAAACATTGTCCACCAAATAAAGCATGAAAAAATAATGTATATGTTGTATATTTGACAAAATAATCGATTTTCTGAAGTTCCAGCCCGAAAGGGGCGGAACCCGGAAGTGATACATCACATGGAGAACAGCGATGGCAGAGCTCCATATGGCAGACATGCAAAGCATTTCAAACAATGATTCAAACAGCGATACAAGCGATCGATCGAGCGCAAGTGAGGATATCCAAGATTTTGAAGAGTTGGAGGAAGAAGAGGAGGTTGGAATTTTACATGTTGGACCTTACATGTACGAGCCAGATGCTAATCAGGATGCAAACAATGTGCCCAGTCGACCTGACATGGAATGGAGACAAGACCCATCAAGATTGGTAAGATATAATATTATTTGTATGATTTGAAGATGAGGCATGTGCACATAATTTTATGTTTTGATCTATCTGATGACATTGTTTAAAAAAAATAATCAGACTTCATTTTCAAGCAGTTAGCCTACTTGGTACTTGCGTATTCTTAGCAAATCATTGTTTGACTTGTACTGGAGAGATTTTTGTAATGAATTTCAACTTTTGTATGGTATTCCATCCATATACTTGTATATTTTGAATCAATGTTTTCATAAACAACAGAATTGTCTTTATTGGCCAAGTATGTAGAAGACACAAGGAATTTGTCTCCGGTATAACACGCTGCATTGGTATCATCATAAACAAGGACATGACAAATAAGTATGGCAGGACATTCCGTAATGTAGGTGAACCGTAGTGCGGTGGTACCACCCAGTGACAACTGTAAGCAATACGCTTGTTCAATAAAACGAATGCTCATGGTGTCATCGCTCAGTATTTCTTTTTTTTTTTTTTTTTGTCAGGTGTACTAATGGTAAATGCCAGCAAATGCCTCCAGCAGTTGAATGTGTTTGCTGCCATGAAATTCAAGGAGTAGTGACTGTACGTCGACAAGGAGAGGAACACTTCAATCAAGTGCTGGACTGCATCACCGACCATCCTGGACTCAAAGCTGTGTGCCTGGACCCACATGGATTACAGGTGGCATGGATGACCTACAAGCAGCAGTACAAAGGCAAGGCATTTGATGGGCCACAGGATGCGCTGATGCTGGAAGTTTCTTGGTCAGGACAACCGTGTTGTGCTCCCAGCATGCGCCGTGTCTTGTATCAGGGCACATTTTCCACCACCAGAAGAGGAGTCAGCTGTACTCAAAGGGTTTCGTGTTTCACAGAGAAATGTTCCAGAACTGTGATTGGGACTGGTTTTAGAGTGGTTAATGTGGACATGGTGTCAATCATAACAAAATACTGTAATAAAAATAAACAAATGAGGACAACTGAAGACAGGGAATGTAATTTTTTTATTTCCTGAGGAATCGAGTCTGGTGCTCGGCAGTAACGGTTGACTTGTCCGGTCTGGTCTGTTCAGTGCTGCTGTCAAAAATTGCGGGTCGACACACACATCACCAGTTCTGTACTTATTTTGAATGGCAATCAGTTTCATCACCTCTGACAGGCAGTCATTCACATAGTCTACAAAAACAAAAAAAAACATATTGGGATGATAAATATTTGGACGACGTATGGGTTATACTCAGTATGTAATGCTGCCTGAAATTACTTTTTATTTCATAACTTACCATAAGTTGCATCCACCAGTATCTTTCTCAGACAATACCCACCACTCTTATATTTGGTATAAATGATACAGTAGGAGTGTATTCCTTCCTTTGTCACTTTCTGTGGTCTGCCAGCATTTTCATTATAATGCATAGCAGCAAGAATTATTCTGGAATAGAACAAAAAATGCCTGATCTTATTTAAAAAAAGTGTCAAATTGTGATGAAATATCTTTTTAATCTCAAAGTTCTACATTTCACTGTAGTCTACATTTCATGCATATCAGTTTTCTTTAACACACCTGCTTTTCATTCCTTTGTACGAGAAGTAGTACATCTTTGGGACAAAGTGATTCACCCCACTGTGAAAAGCTTCCACGCCACTGGTCTGTCCGAGGTGAGACATCTTCATGACATCGTTGACAAACATGGTCTTTGTCAGGAGTTCCACCACTGCGACATTGACTTCAGTAC